GGTTAGAATTGGCCTCTTTCAACGAATGTAAGTCGTTACAGGCGACCTAATAGATCGGTGTCAGGCTTGGTGACCTGGTTGATGGCGTGTCGTCATACCCGACGGTGTGGATCGGTGATCATAATATCAACCACTGGATTGTCTGGTCCAGACATTCAGTATTTACACACAGCCGTCATATAACTGGACTCTCGCTGATTGTGGCGTTAAAAAAACATACAACTAAAAAAGTTTAGTTTTTTAGTGTTTCTTATCCATAATACAAAAGTAAGATTATAAGAAATATATGAAGTGTTTGCGGAAAAGCTAAGAAGATATCGCCGTGCTGGTATATCAGTCGTGCTGCGCCTCTGTTGACACGTACACGGAGTCGGGTTGATTGCTAAGTCAGGAAATCAATGCACTGTACAAGTAGGTCGCTCACTACGATCTATATTTACCACTAAGATATCATGTTACGCTTTGCTTCGGTTGAGATATAATCTATGTAGATGGTAAGATTTACCAATAGGTATTATACTCTCACTCCTCACCTACTTTTCATCAATGGAAGCTTTGTTCTTTTTAGCTGAGTCTCCACTTTTTTCATGACCTAAACAGTGACATGACGGTCTATTTTAATTTCACTAGCCTCCTTCCACGATGTGAACAAGCCTCTTTTTCATGATGTTAACTGTCCCCTTCTATAATAGTAACAATATTCCCTTACATGATGTTAACCCCACTCACGTCTATAATATTAACCAGCCCCCTTTCAATGAAGTTAACACGTGAAGATCCGGGGTAGAACAGGTCTTCAGGACCCATGCTTGCCGTAAAAGGCGACTGTGCTTGTCGTGAGAGGCGATCGGGATCGGGATCGGGTGGTCAGGCTCGCTGACTTGTGTGTTGCATGTCATCAATCCCAATTGCCTGGATCGATGGTCTGGTCCAGACTTGATTATTTACAGATAGCTTTCATATAGCTGTAATATTGCTGAGTGCGGCGTTACCTTGACGATAACCGCACCCTCCCCCCCCCCCCCCCCCCCCATTCCATAATGTTAACCAGTACACTTCCATGATGTTAACACTATCCCACCCTTTCCTCGATGTTAACTCCACCTCACTTGATGTTAAACAACACCCATCTATGATGTTCACAACACCTCCTCTTCAATGATGTTAGCGAGTCCCCCTTCCACGATGTTAACCACACCCTCTCCACACACACATTCCACGATGTTAACCAGCTCTCTTCCTTGATGTTAACCCCACTCCTTTAAATAATGTTAAACAGCATCCTTCCACGATGTTAACCACGCCCTCTCCACACACACATTCCACGATGTTAACCAGCTCTCTTCCTTGATGTTAACCACACTCCTTTAAATAATGTTAAACAGCATCCTTCCACGATGTTAACCACACCCTCTCCACACACACATTCCACGATGTTAACCAGCTCTCTTTCTTGATGTTAACCCCACTCCTTAAATAATGTTAAACAGCATCCTTCCACGATGTTAACCACACCCTCTCCACACACACATTCCAGGATGTTAACCAGCTCTCTTCCTTGATGTTAACCCCACTCCTTAAATAATGTTAAACAGCATCCTTCCACGATGTTAACCACACCCTCTCCACACACACATTCCAGGATGTTAACCAGCTCTCTTCCTTGATGTTAACCCCACTCCTTAAATAATGTTAAACAGCATCTTTCCACGATGTTAAAAACACCCTCTCCACACACACATTCCATGATGTTAACTCCATCTTCTCTTCAATGACTTTAACCAGACTCCTTCCATGACGTTAACCCCACTCATGCCCTCATAATGTTAACCCCAGATACCCCTTCCGTGATATTGAATAAACCCCTTCCATGTTGTTAACCCCACATTCTCTTCCATGATGTTAACACCTTCCCCTGCTGTGATGTTAATCGGCCCCCTTCCATAATGTTAACAATACATCCCCTTACATGATGTTAACCTCACCTCCCCTTCCATGATGTTAACCCAAGCTCCCTTTCAAAGGATGTCAATCCCACCTCCCTTTCAAGGATGTCAACCCCATCCCCCATCCCTCCATGATATCAACCCCACCTCCCAATCCATGATGTTAACCCCATCTCGCATTCCATGTTAACCCCCACTTCCAACTCCATGATGTTAACCCCACCTCGCACTCCATGTTAACCCCACCTTCCATTCCATGGTGTTAACCCCACCTCGCATTCCATGTTAACCGCATCTGCCATTCCATGATGTTAACCCCACCTCGCATTCCATGTTAACCCCACCTTCCATTCCATGATGTTAACCCCACCTCGCACTCCATGTTAACCCCACCTTCCATTCCATGATGTTAACCCCACCTCGCATTCCATGTTAACCCCATCTGCCATTCTTTGATGTTAACCCCATCTCCCATACCATGATGTATTGTTTAGTGTGGGGATCTCGGCAACAGAAGACAGAACCGAGTCTCCTTGTAAGTACGTGAAAGTATGTCGCCTTGGCAACGCTATAGATTATAAGGATTTCTTATCTCTAAGTGGTATTTTAGAAGCTGTAGTATCAGTAAAGACAAAACTGACTTATTGATTTCAACTATATTTGTAATGGGACGTGTCGGTGCAGGTGCTCGTAACGTATGGAGTAATAAATCTACAACTGAGGCTGCAAACACCCTTTTGATACGCGGGATTTTGGGGGGTTATCAACAGTAATCCGGTCTCAGGAGTTGGATATGCGGGAGGTTAAGAAAATCGTTTTATTAAGCAGATTCAACATTTTAAAGTTAATCGTGTTCGTAAAACATTTCTTTATATATTTCATTTTATTTCAATATTTTTTCAGTAATTTAACTTCAAATCACACCCTTGTATGACCTGGGAACGGGTTCTGGGCTATAGGTTTACGCCTGTGATCGACTTTCTGCGTTTGTAGAGTAAAAATCTGACGTGTGCTTTTGAGACTTGTGTTGAGTTGAATTCATGATTCAGAGGTGAGATTCAGAGTGAAAAGATGATAACTGGGATTCAGCGGAGGAGGGGGTGGGCACCTACAAACCTGGGTAAAACATGGCCCCTCTGCTAACTTGCTTGATAACGGTTTGCTTGTTGTTTAACGCCGTGCTCAGCAATATTCCAGCTATATGACGACGGTCTACATAATCGGGTCTGGACCAGACAATCCAGTGATTGACATCATGAGCATCGATCCACGCAATTGGGATACGATGACCGAGTCAGCGAACCTGACCACCCGATCCCGTTAGTCGCATCTTACGAGAAGCATAATCGCCTTTACGACAAGCATGGGTTGCTGAAGACCTACTCTACCCCGGCTCTTCAAGAGTAACATAAGGAGAGTAGCCAGATAATGTTAGCATCATTTGATCTAACAGCTAACTATCGGTCTTAAATCTTCTCTGATGGACGTTTGTCTCTGTAATAATAAAAAACTGTGTCGTTTCAATATTTCTTTTACGGTAATTGTCAAGTCATAACAGAGTGTACAATGTACTGATTCAATTCATCACACAGTTCATATTTATGTACAAGTCTCAACATATTAAAGAGAATTGTATTGCCAAGTCAGTGGAATAATATATGTTTGAAATACAATTTACAGCTGGGTCTGCATAGCTTTCCAAACATTAGGAGGGATTGCTTATCAATATAACACTCAACACTGACAATTTTGAGACTGTCAAGGACAACAGGGTTGGCTGTTTGTTTTGGAAGCATTTGGACCTTTTACAAAAATAACGCTGTGTAGCTTCAAACATTTCATATTCCCTGCCAGTTAGTTGACCCAAGACATTACAGCCAAACAGTGCACTTGGTAGTAACACTCTTTCCCAGACACGAACAGCTGATGTAGGGTCCAATCCTCCAAAGTACAGGCCATATCCGTGATTGATTATCTTTCTTAACTGTAGGATTCTGATTAATTGTTGGGGTTAATTTTATATTTAAGCGGTCTTCATTTAAGTTGTAAAGGGAAGTAACTTTTCTTTTTTTTGTTGGTATCGCTATGTGCAAGAGACTGTGCTGTGAGCAGGGGACCGTAGAGGTTATAAAACGGTAATTATGCAAATAAATACAAAACTTCAGTAACCGAGAAGTAAGACATTATTAAAGTGACCGTTTATTTTCATATTTGCGTCTAAATAATAGTATATTCATAGACGTTTCTGAATTATTTTGCAGTCAATAAAACTGACAGCGCTACCTTAGTATTTCGTGGCAACGGCACCCTTCAACTAGAACAAGAATCTGTTAGAATATGAAACTAAGAATTAGAATAAATGATGAAGTTGAAGAATGATTTGACGTCCTCAATTCTCGAAACCCACATCAACAGTTCCCAGGCAGCTCGTGACCTTTCATAAGATGATTTCGAATTACTGATATTCACCCCCAATAGAATCCATGATTCTTGTAGGCGAGTTCATCCTTTCCACGGGATACACGTGGACACAGTTCTGGTTTGCTGTAAGGAGATATAGTTAATAAGGCATTTTTACTAACGTTGTATACGAGTTGCCATTTGCAGGCATATCGGTGGACATCGTGCGTGCGTGCGTGCGTGCGTGCGTGTGTGAATGTAAATATGTTGTCGTGTGTTGTTGGTATTTGTATTCTGTCATGGATCCATCGTGCTATTAGAGCCGTCTCTGTCATGTTACTGGTATGATGTTAATCAAAATCCGCTCTTCACACTTTTAATGTGATCAGGACATTCTTTCACTAATGACTTGCCTTTGCATGTGTTTCTGACGGTGCCACCGTTTGGGCAAGATATGCTAACCTTTTCGCGAACACTTGATCCATTATTATTTGATAGTGATTCATAAATATATGCTCATGACATATTTGGAATCGTGCAATCGACTCTGCTATTGGCAGAGATTTCTTTAGATGGAAATATGGAATATGAAAGGGTATTGTCGCTTTTGTTACAAATAAATGAAATAACAATTTTATGTATAATTACAAACAGGTCTGACTATGGCGACAACACTCAGCCAGTCCGGCGTGGAGGCTGACACGTCACGCCCACCAAGCGGAAAGAGCTCACTGGGGATAGTCCAGTTCGGTTTCCACGCCAAAACAAGCTTTGACGCAGATGACGCGTTGCTCCAAACTAGAAGCGAAAAGTTAAAAGTTAAAAAGAACACCAAAGACGATGATATATGGAGGAAGCCACCCCCTGACTTCAGGGTGGCTGTGTATGACCCTAGGCCCCCAAAACGCAACACCATCGACTCCATGCAGCCCTGGCGGTACGGAACCATCCCGGGAGAGCGGACAAGGGTTAAGAGGGAGCGGGCATCGTTACTGCCGGTCATCTTTCGTGACAATGGCCAAAAGGAGGCAAAGTTCGTGACGAGATTCCATATACCCCGGCCCTTCACCGCTAAGAAACAGTTCGTGAAAGACGGGATGTACCCAGCAAAAGAGTACGAGACGCCGCAGAGGCACGACTTCAGACGAGTGAGTGAGGCGCATGCCGTTGTCTTTCAGTAACGTTGTTACCAGTCGTCATAATAGGCCATGAGATTTCATAAACTTCGTCACTTGTTATAACCCTTTTACTCGTTTGCCTAGCCAAGTTTCTACCCGCTTTCTGTATGTCAGACTCAACTATTGATATGGATATCGACATATTGAACCCGCGAAGATCCGGGGTAGAATAGGTCTTCAGCAACCCATGCTTGCCATAAAAGGCGACTATGCTTGTCGTAAGAGGCGACTAGCGGGCTCGCAGACTTGGTTGATGCATGTCATCAATCCCAATTGCGTGGATCGATGCTCATGATATTAATCACTGGATTGTCTTGTTCAGACTCGATTATTTACAGACCGCGTTCATATAGCTGGAATACTGCTGAGTGGGGCGTTAATCAAGCAAACAAACAAACAAATCTGTCTGTCTGTCATGTTTCACGTACATTAATATCTGTGTTGCTTAGTATCCGCCAATCAAAAGCCTCGGATTGCCAGAGTTCTTGACAGACCACGAGAAGGATCCCTATGACATCCGGTTCAACACTGATCACCTCAATACAAGTATGTCGTATTTTGTCATGTAGATATCAGCTCACTTAATCCACATGTTCGAAACCAAACATACCTGACAGAGCACACAACAATACCCCGAGAGAGTGCCGATGTTATAGTGCTAGCCATCTGAGATACCATGCCAGTTTAATACCCCACTCGACCGCCTCCGTGGTCTAGTGGTAGAGCGTCCGCCCGGAGAGCGGAAGGTCCGGGGTTCGATCCCCGGCCGCGTCATACCAAAAGACGTTAAAGATGGTACTTGTTGTTACCCTGTCTGGCGCTCGGCATAAAGGGGCTAAAACAAGGACTGGTCGGCTCGGAGTCAGTATACTGTGTCTGAGTGGGGTATTCATGTTAAACTGCGGCATGGTATCTCAGTGAGGTAGCACTATAAATCGGCATCAGTCCAGACTAGTACAAGCAGCCACACACACACGTGCATGCACGTCGATATATAAGTGCAATAATCTTGGACGCGACGTTAAACCCAATTTCAACTCAACTCACCTCACCTCACCTCACCTCACCTCACCTCACCTCACCTCACCTCACCTCACCTCACCTAATACCCCACTCAGACGTAGTATGCTGATTCCCAATCGACCAGTCTTTGTTTCAGCCTCTTAATGCAAAGCGCCATATGTGTTTACGATAACCTTCTCCTCATGTTGAACATACGAGTATTTCTACACGTATCGTTATCAATATGGTTCAATATTCCCGATCAATCAAACTGTATATGTGTTTATGTGTACATACGTACGTTACAGTACACGGCTTGACTCTGGGCTGCGTGGAACGCGACCTCGTGAACGACCGCCAGATGGCGCCAGCGATGCCGTCACAGCCAAAATACGAATCTGAACTCGTCTTGTCCAGGGACCCCTGGCCTACCAAGAGCGGAGCTTACACGGTGAGTATAATAAATACTCTGCAAATTAGGCTTAACGCCGCCGAGGGGCGGTTGGAAAGCCTAGTGGTTAAAGCGTCGGCTTGTCACGCCGAAGGCCCGGGTTCGATTCCCCATATGGGTACAGTGTATGAAGCCCATTTCTGGTGTCCCCCGCGGCGATATTGCTGGAATACTGTTAAAAGCGGCGTAAAACTATATTCACTCACTTAACACCGCCGAACATTATTTCGGTAAAATTAGGGCGTATCAGCTTCATGTGGAAGGCTGGTGGCCCCAGCCGTGATATTGCTGGAATATTGCTAAAAGCGGCGTAGAGCCAAACTAAATCACCTGAAGCCTGAAGTGATGCAGGTATTATACGTTTACCACTAGGGTGAATCCCAGGAGCACGGATACGATGCTCACAAACAAAGATCATAAAAAGGATGAGTCTGAGACTAGCACCATGATCTGGTCCTGGCGCGCCTAACGGACGGAATCTTGAGCAGTGAATTGCATCCTCGTAGATGAATCAGCTAGGGTTAGACCCGTGAAGATCCGGGGTAGAATAGGTCCTCAGCAACCCATGCTTGCCGTAAAAGGCGACCATGCTTGTCGCAAGAGGCGACTAACGGGATCGGGTGGTCAGACTCGCTGACTTGGTTGATCCATGTCATCGATTCCAATTGCATGGATCGATGCTCATGTTGTCAATCACTGGATTGTCTGGTCCAAACTCGATTACTTACAGACCGCCGTCATATAGCTGGATAATTGCTGAGTTTGGCGTTAAGCAACAAACAAAAGCTAGGGTCAATTTACTGTGACTAATGACCTTGAACTTGTCTCTTTCAGCGTCACCGTCGACGTAACCGCCAGGCATACAGCGCCTTCATGGAGCGCGTGGAGACGGAGTTGGTCACGCAGTGGGCACGTGAGAAGCTGGAGAAGGTTTTGCAGGAATACGAGGAAAGACGCCAGACCGTTAAAGAGTCTTAGCATCACCTAGGGGAACTTCATTCTTGTGGTCCTCGCCTCAACAGGGAAGTCAGTGTATATACCGATCTTCTACATTGGCAACACGTTTGACACGGTCCCATTAACAGCCAGGCTTCACCAGCGGACCAAAACCTTTGGATGCACATAACTTAAAATGAATGCAAATATTCGAGAAGCAATATACGTTTTGGAGTTGTGCTACGTTTGTTGAAAACATGTCACTAAACGATGTAGGTTTGTTTTTGTACGGTTACATGACGCGGATGCTTCAATGCCCACCCCTGCATCCACAAACACCACCCCCAACCCTACCCTCCCCACCCACCACACTGGTTGTGATTTCATATAAGGTACAATCTGATATCTCCATACACATGGTATCATTACCATGGATGGTCGTGTTGCTCAACAATGGCACAACTTGCTCGTTTTACAGCAAGACCAGGATGTGGGTTACGTTCCCATAAAATCAATGTATTACAACCGTCGTCAGTACAGGGTTATCGGACCCTCTTTCAAGACATTGAGAGACAATAACATAAATCATTGAGCTACTTAGCATTTCAAATTTCAAATTACAAGTCAAGATAAAGTAAGTGTTATATGCATATTGTGTCGGTACCTAAACCTACTAGGCGTTAATGCTTTACAGACATCGACATTCAGTATATACGTAGGCGGCTTTTGTCTAGATATCGGAACTTATGTTATACCACTCAACTTTTGTTGGGATATCGAAATAATGAACCCACGAAGATCCGGGATAGAATAGGTCTTCAGCAACCCATGCTTGTCGTAAGAGGCGACTATTTTTTATCACTTTCGATGAAGTTTATTTGTCGTTCATTTTTTCTTGCAAATATTGTCTCTAATGGGTCTATACTTAAACAAAAAAGTCACCCTATCCTGCTTGACCCGTGAAGATCCGGGATAGAATAGGTCTTCAGCAACCCATGCTTGTCGTAAGAGGCGACTAACGGGATCGAATGGTCAGGCTCGCTGACTTGGTTGATGCATGTCATTGATGATCCCAATTGTGTGGATTATTGCTCATGATGTGAATCACTGGATTGTCTGGTCCAGACTCGATTATTTACAGACCGCCGTCATATAGCTGGAATATTGCTGACAACAAACCAACCAACCAACCATCAAAGCTTGAGACTGTAGCATATATCCAGTATATTGAAGGCGTACCATGGCCTTGGTTGTAGCAGTTCTCGAGTTAATGGATAAGTTATATACAGAGAGGCTGTCTTCCACGTTATATATTCATGAACATTATCAACTAAACCTACACTGGAATCGGAAAACCTGTCGGTTGAGGAAACTATTTCAGATATATGAGACATAACACACTTATCGTCAACTGTCTTCGTATTTTGTTTCAAAACTGAGTAGGGACTTATTGATTTAACGTCTTGTAGATAAGAGACAAGTGGAAACCCGTCGTAAACTAAAATGGTAAAAAGTAATAACAACTTTCTGGTTCAACAGTTGAGATTATTGTGTGGCCATATATACCCACCGCCAAAAGAAACGCGAATACAATAAATGTTGGTTTATTGAGAGGAATTACTCATATTCAAGAGGTATTGGATTGGTTCGATGCACAAACGAACATACATGTACTGCATGGTATGTTGTGTGAAACGACGCTCATGAACGCATTACATGTGACGTCATCAACTCATGACTCGAGATGCACCATTTGTCTCGTGCAGGATTGGAGTGTAAAGTTTGGCAATCACATGCGGCATATCCTGATAAGCGTATGGTCACTCTGTGGTAACACTTGACTGATTGTTAGTTCTGCCATTACGTGGTACATGTTGGAAATATATCTTCTCAACGTACATACTTCTGTATATGTTTCTATGGTTCGCGTTTCTTTTGGCGGTGAGTATATTCACAAACAATCTGTGACACCAAGTACCAAATTGCACTAAGCGATCTTACCCTGCAACTATCATAGTAATGGGATTGAGTGTGTGAGTTGTGTTTAACACCGCTTTTAACAAAATTCCAGTAATATCATAGCTGTCAGCTTAATGTGGGAGGAAAGTGATGCAGGTCTCAAACATTTACCACTTCCATGAAACCCCGAGCACGGGTATGGTGCTGACAGACCAAGAAACATAATCGGGATGAACCAGGATCCGAACCACAATCATAGGTTTCTGGCGTGCCCAAGGGAAGCAACTCTGCACAGCGAATCGACTGGGCTACCTGTGCCCCCAGTAATGGGCTTGACCTGGGTCTATTTATTTGAGGATCTTGGAGACACTCGGTGATATTTTTTTAGGGTGTCAGGAAGTGTCTGGGGATATGTATACTTGCCTCGATCTCCAATAGGTCTAATGATTTCAGGGGCGGTCGGGTAGCCTAGTGGTTAAAGCGTTCGCTCGTCACTCCGAAGACCCGGGTTCGATTCCTGACATGGGTACAATGTGTGAAGCCCATTTCTGGTGTCCCCCGCCGTGATATTGCTGGAATATTGCTAAAAGCGGCGTAAAACAATACTCACTCACTCACTCTAATGATTTCATAGCTCTGCGCATGACCGGAAGCCTGATCTACTTTATGCTAATCAAAGAGAATGATCTCGCATTGCATGGTTTTAATACCAACATGATTATAGGTCACATGTGACTTCAGATAACTTGCGTCCATTCCCTGGTGTCATCCATACATGGCGCACCAACTTGTGTCCGGAAAAATGTGATTGTGGATAATTCAAAAGATTTTATGGTGATAATCCTATTGTTTTATGTTGATAATCCTCTTGTTTTATGTTGATTTCAATTATTTATGGAGTCATGTCTCACAAACAGCATTAAAGGTAATATTTTTTTACATAAATATATATTTATAGTTGCATTTGCTCACAAAACCCAAACAGTATTACTTACCTGCTCAAACGCACCTGCTAACCATATTACCTACACACGTAGATAGAGTGTATATGCTATATATCTTGAAGATGGGTTATGCTATTAAAATGGTGAAATCATAATTGCTTTGTCTTATATCTTAACCCTTCTGATCTCGATCTCGCACAAGTCCAAGCTGTCTTCCAAGCATGTAGTCAGTTTCTTGGATTTAAGACAAAAGAGATGAGATCCAGTCATCTGAAAGCCTGAAGTGATGCAGGTCTCAGACCTTTACCACTTTGGTGAAACCAACGAGCAGGGTATGGTGCTGACAAACCTAGAAACATAATCGGGGTGAACCAGGATTGGAACCCACAATCATAGGTTTCTGGCATGTGCAAGGGACCCAAAACAACATTGCACAGTGAATTGCCACGCCTTAAACTAGGGGTGAAAGAATACAGCAAGGTCCCGATACATGGGTCCCGTTACAATACCCATATTTACGTCAGATCGCATGGAATTTTCAGGAATAATCAGGGTGAATCTGGGATCTAGGTTCCTAGCATGCCTAAAAGATGCAACTCTAAACACCAAATCGCCCCAGTGAGTGAATGGCACATCACCCTGGTCTGTAAGCACCCACATGGAGACAAGCATGGGATCTTTGTTTGTGCTTTGTTTAAAATGTATCTGCACCCAGCAATGTTCCAGCTCTGTAGCTGAGACAATCCAGTGATTGATATGACAAACAATCAACCAAGGCTTGATCACCTGATTCAAAACAAGCACTGGCTTTATGTACCTCGAGATGATAGTCGAGCGTTGGAGTCTGGAGAACTTATCTGCCCCAGCGGCGAGATATGGCTACAGGGGCCTTACCTGCATCAGGATCTCCACAGGGGGACAAGGACGGAGGACACAATCCAGGATTGTGAGTGAGTGAGTGAGTGAGTATGGTTTTACGCCGCTTTTAGCAATATTCCAGCAATATCACGGCGGGGGACACCAGAAATGGGCTTCACACATTGTACCCATGTCGGGAATCGAACCCGGGTCTTCGGCGTGACGAGCGAACGCTTTAACCACTTGGCTACCCGATCGCCCCTCCAGGATTGTGAAGATGTCATATAGTCGAAAATGATAAAACAAAAAGGATCCACACATTTATTTCCAATCAAATAATGTTTCAAACAATACTGTCTGAGGTACAAAAAACAATGGCCATCAGGTAAAAAAAACTCAAAGTATGGTACCTATACCAGTCCTAGACAAATTCTGCAGAATGATTCCCAGAATATATGACAACGCGGAATTGCCGAAAAGTCCGTAAATTTGCCCTTTCATCAATCAATGCACTATTTTTCTTTATTTTCAAGCTTTTCAGTTGGAATTTTGCACTTGAATGATGATGCCCAAACATGCGATTCATACTCACAAAATATGAAACCTGCAAAACAACGAAATTTGGAATAAATAATTCTCACTTGATAAAAGAGACATTATATAATATTAATTAAGACAAAGTTCTCCTACTTCGGTTTCAAGGTTCCACTGACATTGTTATACACACCTGGAAAGAAACAACAACTAAAAAAATACTTTCATATAAACTTGCCATATCACAAAACTGTATCATGCATCACTTTCAAGTGCCTCATCTGCTTCTTCGCCTCATATGATAAGTGAGTGATAGAGTTAGGTTCATAAAGATATAGAAAGAAAATAAGGGGCGGTGCTTAACCTTTTTCCAGGTGTATAGATGGACCACACTGGTCATGGAAGACAGCTATAGGTATAACATGAAATGACAACAACCGTTAGCCTCTATATGTAGATACCTTATTCGATGTAATAAGCGCCCAGGGCGCTCTCAAAATTAGAAATAGGGGGCTCTTATTAGAATAATATTTTTTTGAAAAAAACAGAGTTGAAAGATAAATTTTGTGGTTTATGCCGACAACCTGAAATGTTTATATACAACATATATATTTTTCCAGAATTTAATTGCCCATAATTAAGGATGCATATAAAACACGAGTGTGTATTATACGTGAATAAATAACTCTTTTGTACATTGATCAATCAGAAGGGGCGCTGATTGGGATTGTTCACTAGCCAATATATTAAGAAATATCGCCATGGGCACTTATCACGTCGAATACGGTATATGTAGATAAACATTCCCACATGTGCATCAACAAAATACCATGCACTTGTACATACTGGGACAAAAGTATGTCTCTCATTTAGCCTATAATATCCTCCCTCAGGCTAAGACTTCGTATTAATCAACACACTCATATAAACCTTTCAAACTGACACGATGAATATAAAGTAGAAACATTAAAAAATTGCTTTGCATCTTAGCCACATTTAATGATTTTACTGTAAATATAAAAGGTCAATGCCAGAGAATAACCAGTCTCGATTATCTCACGAAACAGATTCCATTTGCCATAGCTCAAATGAGCAATACCCAAATGCTGGAAGACATAAAGTGCACACTGACCTATATACATCACAATGGAACTCCCTTTTTAACTTCCAGTTGGCACATAGGTGAAGAAACCTCCCCAAAAATAGAAACATGGACTCCACAACTACCTTTAACTAGTTTTACAAACAATTTTATGATGGATCGCTACAGACAAATGGCTGCAAATGATCAACTTGTCACCACACATTATCAGACCAGAAACAGAATAAATATAAACATACAAATTCCCACACACAAGACAATCCCTCAGTGATACAGATCGCTAGTTGCTGTAACAATATTTATCACTGCACAATGTGAGTCAGCGATAGAAATAGTGAAGGTATCAAAAGGACTGGAAGAAATTTGCCATTTTTAAGAGTTTTGCTATGTTTTATCATTATAAGGACTAGTGGACTAAAACTGTTACTCTCTATCGCTACAATACATTTCAGTCCTTGTATCAATACAGTCAGGTGCCATGTTGTTGAAACTGTACACTCAAGTACCGTTAATCCAACATGGTTGGTTGCATATTATTATGTCGAATTAACGAGTAAGTCGGATAAACGAAATTAAGTTGTATCAACATTCGTGATCGAAAATCTGACAACTATATGACAGATAATGATACAACCACGTAATATAAAAATGAAAAATGATCGACAGTCAGTCACCTGCATTGTGTTTCGTTGTATGGAAGAGTTACTACCCCCTGAACACAAACCAATATCACATTGAGTAACCACTCACTGATGTAACTGATGATATGACATACTCCATGCCTACCAAATTATCAATTCCTATTGAAATTTTGAATCTTTTTCAAAAAGTCATAAATAAAAAGATATATTATTACCCTGCTCAATGTCTACCTAAGCTACTGCTACCTAACTTTAATGGCAGCCCTTAATCATCTTCCTGAGGCAAGGGAGTTAACTGACTATAAAAGTCCAGGTCCATCCTTGCCGAACTGGGCTGGAATAATGGAGTTACACTTTGGCTGGAGTAATGAGTCAATGCCTAGTCCAATTAAAATCGTGTAACGAAATCGATATCCAGTTTGAAAACAGCCTCCCAGTTTTTACAGACAACTTAGTGTAAACAGATATTTTACAAATCTTTTCATGTTTTTAATCAAGGTGTTCACGTGATTTGATGCACTTTGCAAAGTAAGACCCATTTTATTACAATATAGATCCTGATTATCGATCAGATTGTCTCGACTGTGAGATGCCATTTTATTTGAATTAAATGATAGCTATGAGAGGTGGAATCTGATTGGTCAATAGGAGGGGCACAGAAGGGACATAACTTGTAATAGCCACTGGTTAGGCAAGGGTCAAAACTGGACTTTTAGAGTCAGTTAACTCAGTTGCCTCGGCAAGATGGTCCTAAATGAAAATGTTGATTCTCTATACAAAGCATAACACTATTAGAACAAACAAAATTAATAACTTTTTCGGCTCCAGTCACCTAGGCTAAATGAAACATGGAGAATTTTACACATAAACAGTACAAAAAGAGCTGGTATTACAATACGTACCACATCATACATATCGTTAGAAAAGTATCCCGATATGTATCATGTCGTGACTCTGGTATCAAAATATATATCGTATGACTACTCAAGTATTGCAGTATGTATCTGAGGTATGGGGACATATCTTCTGAGATGTAGTACCTCATGGTTCAGCCATCTTGGCTTTTCAAAGATGCCCGGTACTCCGCAACCTCCACGCCCTCCCAGTTCTTGTTGTTCAGCGGCTTCATGAACCTACGACAGGAATGTTAATGTGACACTGCTTGTTGCTCTGAACGTTCATAGTGAGTGAGTGAGTGAGTTTTAGACTGAGTGTGTGAGTTTTAGAGTGAGTGAGTTTTAGAATGAGTGAGTGAGTTTTAGACTGAGTGTGTGAGTTTTAGAGTGAGTGAGTTTTAGAATGAGTGAGTGAGTTTTAGACTGAGTGTGTGAGTTTTAGAGTGAGTGAGTTTTAGAATGAGTGAGTGAGTTTTAGACTGAGTGTGTGAGTTTTAGAGTGAGTGAGTTTTAGAATGAGTGAGTTAGTTTTAGAATGAGTGTGTGAGTTTCTGAGTGAGTGAGTTTTAAAGTAAGTGTGTAAGATTCTGAGTGAGTTTCAGAGTAAGTGAGTGAGTTTTAGAGTAAGTCAGTTTTAGAGTAAGTCAGTTGTAGAGTGAGTTGTATAGTTAGTGAGTGAGTGAGTCTTAGAGTGTGTGCGTTTTAAAGTGGATCAGTTTCAGAGTGAGTGTGTGAGTTTTAGAGTGAGTGAGTGCATGAGTGAGTTTTAGAGTTAGTTAGTTTCCTCTTCCACGAGCATAAATCTCCAGAAACTTTGAACAAGTTTTGGGAACAAAGTTTCAAATTTTATTGTAATTTAGCAATTTTGGGTTTGCTTTTCTACATTTGTTTGAGACATTATTAATGTGTTATAATATAATGAAGACTGCTCCAGTCCTGGGTGTTCGGATACAGTTGAAGCGGTCGATCCTCATGCTGACTGCCAGGACATGAAGAATACTGCAAACAGCTGTCAAAAACCCTACTCACTCACTCACTCGCAGCATGAAATAGTGACATGAAATGACACTATTGAAAGAATGAGTATGGTTTTATTACTTTTTTAGGGATATTTGAACCAAATAATGGCACCGACACCAGAAATTGGCTTCATACCTATCATCCATTCATGGAATCAAACTCAGGCCTATTGAAGTAACTGAGGTATGACATTTTGACTATTGTTTAGTTGGTTTGTTGTTTAACTCCGCACTCAGCAATATTCCAGCTATATGACAGCAGTCTGTAAATAATCGAGTCTGGACCAGACAATCCAGTGATTAATATCATGAGCATCGATCCACACAATTGGGATCGATGACATGCATCAACCAAGTCAGCGGGCCTGACCACCCGATCCCGTTAGTCGCCTTTTACGACAAGCATAGTCACCTTTTACGGCAAGCATGAGTTGCTGAAGACCTATTCTACCCCGGAATCTTCACGGGTTTTTTTTACTATTGGCTGATATGAGGGCATCGTGCCTTGGGGCCAACTATTGTCATGGATACATCCCTGCTTGCTGACTTACTTCTCCATCACTTCCTTCTGTGTCTTCCTCTCCAGCTCAGTAAGAGGCGTGTACACTGAGTCAATGTTCTTCTGTAAGTTTTTCAAACTGAAACAAGCAAAACACAAGCATAAAGTCCACTCATCCCCAACAAAACACCAACCCCATAAGGATAATGGCGTTGGTGCCATGCTACAACAGATAAACTTTTTATTTTGCAAAATTCCAAATGGCTGTCAGAGGCTCATTTTAGTGGGGAAAAAGCCTTCATGCCAATGTGGTTTGCAAAATGATATTGATGTGTTCCTTAGGCTTGGAGAAAAGATCAGGGAAAAGAAAAGAAGTATAGTGGTGGACAAAGACCTATAAAATAAGCTAATATTGACAATATCAAGGCGAGTTGAAAATGCCCCAACTCTTATAAACTGGTGTGTCTTACTAGCTGAGGGTGTGGAGAGCAGAAACACATTGAACTGGTCTCAGCACTAAGGGCGAGCTACCACTAAGATGACATGTTACTAGAAATTTATGACAAACATTAAACTAAGGTAGCTCTGTGGAACCTCGTTACAATGAATGTAAATCAATGTTCACATATATCATAGCATATCGCTTTGAGGTATTGAATTTGTTTGCTATTTTAACGCAGCACTCAGCAATATTCCAGCTGTATAAATAATCAAGTCATGACCAGACAAACCATTGACTGACATTATGAGGAACATGGTTCCAGACTAACAGGGTTCCAGACTAACAGGGCTCTAGACTAAGAGGGTGTCACTGTCAAAGGCCTTTACCTTGCAGTGCTGACCAGAGTTGAGTGGTATTCTGGCTGTGACAAGGTGAAGTCCATGGCAAGACGGGATATGTCCACTCCCCTCTCCTGGAAAACACAAGGAAGACATGTCTGAGTGAGTGTACAGAGCTACATATGCATATGGCTTTTGAGAAAATTTACGAGCATGGTCAAAACAAGGTCTCAATCAAAATATTGCAAAAGGGACACAACTCTGCACAGTGAATCGGGACAATGCACAGGTTTGTGGGTGTGTTTGTTATTTAATGCCACACTCAGCAATATTCCACTATATGATGGCAGCATGTACATAATGCAGTCTCCAGACAATCCGACCCGTGAAGATCCAGGGTTAGAATAGGTCTTCAGCAACCCATGCTTGCCGTAAAAGGCGACTATGCTTGTCTTAAGAGGCGACTATTGGGATCGGGTGGTCAGGCTCGCTGACTTGGTTGATGCATGTCATCCATCCCAATTGCGTGGATCGATGCTCATGATGTGAATCACTGGATTGTCTGGTCCAGGCTCGATTATATACAGACCGCCGTCATATAGCTGGAATATTGCCGAGTGCGGCGTTAAACAATAAACCAACCTACCAACAATCCAGTGATTGATATCGTCAGCAACGATTCATGCCTGACCACTCAACCCAATCGGCCATCTCTTATGACCAGCATAGGTTCCTGGGGGACCTGCTCTAACCTGAATCGCCATGGGTGTATATATACAGCAGGTGCCACTCACTGAAGCATTCGGGGTGGTCGGGTAGCCTAGTGGTTAAAGCATTTGCTTGTCACGCCGAAGACCCGGGTTCGATTCCCGACATGGGTACAATGTGTGAAGCCCATTTCTGGTGTCCCCCACCATGATATTACTGGAAGATTACTAAAAGAGGTGTAAAACCAAACTCACTCACTCACTGAAGCATTGCTGAAGAAGACTTCACTGAAAATTTCAACGGTTTCAAAACAATTGTTGGAACCTATAAAAACTCATTTACTGTTTTTAGTGGGGTTTTTTACTGCTTTTTTTCTATTATTTACCATCATTATGTACCGTATGTGACCGTGGATAAGCCGATCCAATAGATAAGCCGAGGCATTTACAGTCAAGTCTTGTTAATCCGACATCGTTGGTTGCACATGATTGTACAGAGCTACATATGCATATGGCTTTTGAGAAAATTTACGAGCATGGTCAAAACAAGGTCTCAATCAAAATATTGCAAAAGGGACACAACTCTGCACAGTGAATCGGGACAATGCACAGGTTTGTGGGTGTGTTTGTTATTTAATGCCACACTCAGCAATATTCCACTATATGATGGCAGCATGTACATAATGCAGTCTCCAGACAATCCGACCCAATAGATAAGCCGAGGCATTTACAGTCAAGTCTTGTTAATCCGACATCGTTGGTTGCACATGATTGTGTCGGATTAACGAGTATGTCGGATTAACGTAATTAAGTGATTTGTGATCGAAAATCGGACATCTTCACGATAGATAATAACCGTGTGTTTCCTCGTGTAAATGCAAGTGCTACTGTCTTAACAACTTGCTTCATCTACTTTAAATAGTCTGTCAGTGTTTTCTGTTTCTCACATTTTGAAGGCACACTTCTCAATGTCCCCTGTTCGCTTGACGTCTAGGGCTGGTGGTTCTTCAGCATCAACATTGTCGAGGTGTAATTTCATTTGTTTTTTATAATAAAGCTTGAAATTCTTTATGATCCCGGCATCTAGTGTTAATTGTTAAAGTTAATCTCTGCAGCCAGTGCGTGTCAAAACACGGGGTTGTGTACTTGCAGGCAGATGACCACGGAGTACGCTGACCACTGTGTCGGATTAACGAGACTGATTAATGAGTGATTTCGGTAATTCGTTGCAAATTAGGTGTGTCGGAGTCGGAGTGCGAGAATGTCGGATTAACGGGACTAAATAGCGCTGAATCAATCGGTTCCCATCATTTGTGTCGGATAAAGCCGAGTGTCGGATTAACGAGTGTGGGATTAACGAGACTTGACTGTATTTGGTCCTTGAAATCTGTATCAAAATGTTATATGTGGTAGATAAGCCAGACCCCCAACCTTAAACTTTGTCTCGTTATGATATGTCATCGGAAATAGAATATCAACCAGACAGTATTGAATTATGCCAGTTAATCGTGTCATTACACCATCGGTAATAAAAACTGTTTAATTGTATATCTGGACCTAAGTAATCTATTTTATAAATTTTAATCAAACTTTCATTCAATAATATATACATTAATTTTGTTGTCCATCCGGTACTTACAACTTCCGTTTGCCCTGTTCCATACACAGGGTAATCTTTATCCCTGCATATAAAACAATGCCTAGCAAAACAAGAAATACAATCAAAATAGTAAATCATCATGTCTAGTGATGTTTAATCGCAAATTTCACATTTTCATTAACACAGTTTGTTACAGCTTTGTTCATTCACCTGGAGCGATACGATGTAGTTTTTTCACCAACATAAGAAAAGAGTTTGATGAAAGTGTAACCCATACATAAGCCGACCCCTTTCTACAGAATCTTTTTTTCTGGTCCTCAAGATTTGGTTTATCAACAGTCATATACAGCAATGGATTTCATAATTTACAAAACAACATGAGAGCATAATGTTAATTTGCTGAAAAACACATAAACAGAAACACCGTGCACATGTTTTCCTTTACTTCAAGAAACTGATAAAATTTTCATGCTACTTTCCTAGGGATGTGTCTAGGATTCAAATAAAACTGCCCTTGGGAGTCAAATTGGGAAAACAATATTTCACTAATAATAACAACTTCATAAAGTTTAATTTTTCTTAAATTCAGAGGCATTTCAACACTATTTTTCACACTGCATTCAATGCAAAAATGTAAAATTAAGCTGGTCGTGCAGTAGGTGAAATACAGTCATCTCTCAAAAGCTATAACACTAACAATTTTAATGGGGAAATTGGTAATTCCGATTTTGTAAATTGTACAGACATTTGCTTTAGATTTCAGAATAATAACAACAGGCTATTTATATTGAGCTTATTTCCACACCACCAAGGGGCATGCTCAAAGCACTATTATTACCCTGGTCACTGGATCACTGTGCACTCATCAATCATATTCAGCTCCTTGGGGAGTATACAACCCAAGCTACCTGTTAAGCGCTAGAAGGTTAACAACCACATTGCCATCTCATCCCACAGGGTGAACACATTTCAAACAAAGTGACTTGCCCAAGGAGACGCCACATGTGTTACATGTGCTTCAGTGTGGGGCAGGACCGAAGCCCTAGAAACTCTCAGGGGCCTAGCTCATCCAAGGACTCTCTGCGACCGATTTTGAATAACTTCACCTTATTTGTGACCTGTGCGCTGTGCATGAAATCACGGGCCACCACAAAGTTTATACTTTGACTGCACATATGAGTAGACTCCATGTCTGAGTTGACTACACATCTGAGTTGCCTACCTTGCAGTAAGCAGCTGCTGCAGCACATGTGTCCTTGATGTCCTGGGAGGCGGGGTGCCAGGATGGGGCGCCACGGTCCGACAACAGACCCATACTTATCGGTGACGCATTCATTATCCCGACACCTTTAGACTGCAACAGAATCTAATGGCTAGGACCATAGGAAATATTCATTTATTCTTCAAAGAATCTCCTTTCTTATATGATGACCTGTATAAATACATTGGTCATTAATTTTTCAAATTTACATTAATACCTGGCAAAAAAGCAAGATATGATGAAACTTTAAATCAGCAATCACATATTTTTGGTATTCCAGTTACTAAGAGCAAAATATTTCTGCAGCAAGCTAGCCCTTTTGTTTTTTTGGCACAAAAATCCAATTTCCAATATGCTAAGTATGGTATGTAATCGGACAGTCAGTTATCCTACTTCCAAATGTAGTATATATTCGGCCAGTGAGATATCCTACAATGTTTTTTAGAGTATGGTATATAATCTGTCAGTGAGATATCATATATTGAAGTATGGTATACAATCTGTCAGTGAGATATCCTACATTGAAGTATGGTATATAATCTGTAAGTGAGATATCCTACATTGAAGTATGGTATATAATCCGTCAGTGAGATATCCTACATTGAAGTATGGTATACAATCTGTCAGTGAGATATCCTACATTGAAGTATGGTATATAATCTGTCAGTGAGATATCCTACATTGAAGTATGGTACATGATCTTTCAGTGAGATATCCTACATTGAAGTATGGTATATAATCTATCAGTGAGATATCCTACATTGAAGTATGGTATACAATCTGTCAGTGAGATATCCTATATTGAAGAATGGTATACAATCTGTCAGTGAGATATCCTACATTGAAGTATGGTATATAATCTGTCAGTGAGATATCCTACATTGAAGTATGGTATATAATCTGTCAGTGAGATATCCTACATTGAAGTATGGTATATAATCTGTCAGTGAGATATCCTACCTCGAAGTATGGTATATAATCTGTCAGTGAGTTATCCTACCTCGAAGTATGGTATATAATCTGTCAGTGAGATATCCTACATTGAAGTATGGTATACAATCTGTCAGTGAGATATCCTACATTGAAGTATGGTATATAATCTATCAGTGAGATATCCTACATTGAAGTATGGTATACAATCTGTCAGTGAGATATCCTATATTTAAGTATGGTATACAATCTGTCAGTGAGATATCCTACATTGAAGTATGGTATATAATCTGTCAGTGAGATATCCTACATTGAAGTATGGTATATAATCTGTCAGTGAGATATCCTACATTGAAGTATGGTATATAATCTGTCAGTGAGATATCCTACCTCGAAGTATGGTATATAATCTGTCAGTGAGTTATCCTACCTCGAAGTATGGTATATGATCTGTCAGTGAGATATCCTACATTGAAGTATGGTATATGATCTTTCAGTGAGATATCCTACATTGAAGTATGGTATATAATCTGTCAGTGAGATATCCTACCTCGAAGTATGGTATATAATCTGTCAGTGAGATATCCTACCTCGAAGTATGGTATATATTCTGCCAGTGAGTTATCATTCATAGATCCCCGGCAGTAGGTCAATATACTGTCTATCTCCACTGTACTCTTCTCAAGCACTGTCCTAAACAAACAAATCACATGTTTCAGATCATGCTTACGTTTCTCTTCTCATATATATACTGGATCTTGACCGGAAAATAATGTCAATGGCCACTTAATTTAATGGCTGTCTGTTTGTTGTTTAACGCTGCACTCAGCAATATTCCAGCTATATGATGGCGGTCTGTAAATAATCAAGTTGGACCAGACAATCAAGTGATTGACATCATGAGCATCGATCCACGCAATTGGGAATTGGTGACATGCATCAACCAAGTCAGCGAGCCTGACCACCCGATCCAGTTAGTCGCCTTTCATGACAAGCATGGGTTGCTGAAGACCTATTCCACCCCAGAATCATCACGGGTCTTGAAAATAGGGGGTCCTGGGGGTCTCCTCCTGTCCTAATTGAATCCAGGCCCCCTAAATCTTGAACTTGGATTCATGCTTAATTACGAACACTTGTAGTGTTGAGTGGGTGCTTCATTATGTCGTTGTTGTTGTTTGTTACTGGATGCTGCACATATTCCAGCCATATGATAGTGGTCTGTAGATAATGACTTCTGGACCAGACAATCAAGTGACTGACCTCATGAGCATTGATCCAGGGAATTGAGATACGATGACATGCATCAACCAAGTCAGCAAGCCTGGCCCTGATCCTTTCAGTCGCCTCTTACAAGCTGGGGACCTATGTATATTGTTCCATACACTCACATGTATAATGTCCCGTACTCACATGACAGACAAACAGGTTGCTGGGGACCTATGTATATTGTCTCATACACTCACATATATAATGTCCTGTACTCACATGACAGACAGACAGGTTGCAGGGGACCTATGTATATTGTCTCATACACTCACATATATAATGTTCTGTACTCACATGACAGACAGACAGGTTGCAGGGGACCTATGTATATTGTCTCATACACTCACATGTCTAATGTCCTGTACTCACATGACAGACAGACAGGTTGCTGGGGTCCTATGTATATTGTCCCATACACTCACAGGTATAATGTTCTGTACTCACATGACAGACAGACAGGTTGCTGGGGACCTATGTATATTGTCCCATACACTCACAGGTATAATGTTCTGTACTCACATGACAGACAGACAGGTTGCTGGGGACCTATGTATATTGTCCCATACACTCACATGTATAACGTCCTGTACTCACATGACAGATAGACAAGTTGCTGGGGACCTATGTATATTGTCTCATACACTCACATGTCTAATGTCCTGTACTCACATGACAGACAGACAGGTTGCTGGGGTCCTATGTATATTGTCCCATACACTCACATGTAAACTGTCCTGTACTCACATGACAGACAGACAGGTTGCAGGGGACCTATGTATATTGTCCCATACACTCACATGTATACTGTCCTGTACTCACATGACAGACAGACAGGTTGCTGGGGACCTATGTATATAGTCCCTTACACTCACATGTATAATTTCCTGTACTCACATGACAGACAGACAGGTTGCTGGGGACTTATGTATATTGTCCCATACACTCACATGTATAATGTCCTGTACTCACATGACAGACAGACAGACAGGTTGCTGGGGACCTATGTATATTGTCCCATACACTCACAGGTATAATGTTCTGTACTCACATGACAGACAGACAGGTTGCTGGGGACCTATGTATATTGTCCCATACACTCACATGTATAACGTCCTGTACTCACATGACAGATAGACAGGTTGCTGGGGACCTATGTATATTGTCCCATACACTCACATGTATAATGTCCTGTATAATGTTCTGTACTCACATGACAGACAGACAAGTTGCTGGGGACCTATGTATATTGTCCCATACAGTCACATGTATAATGTGACCCGTGAAGATTCCAGGGTAGAATAGGTCTTCAGCAACCCATACTTGCCGTAAAAGGTGACTATGCTTGTTGTAAAAGGCAACTAACGGGATCTGGTGGTCAGGCTCACTGACTTTGTTGATACATGTCATCAATCCAAATTGTGTGGATCGATGCTCATGATGTCGATCACTGTATTGTCTGGTCCAGACTCAATAATTTTACAGACCGCCGTCATATAGCTGGAATATTGCTGAGTGCGGCGTTAAACAACAAACAACAAACAACCAACATGTAAAATGTCCTGTACTTGCATGACAGACAGACAGTTGCTGGGGACCTATGTTCTTACCCAGCATGCCCCTTAGTTGGCTTCATGATGAGATTCACATCATTGTTTCTAGCATGATCAGAGACCAAGGTGATGACAATCTTCAGTCCAGACAAAATGTCCCTCTTTATGAATCCAAGCAAGGGACAATCGCCCATTGAAATTTTCTAATTTCATGATTTTCAGTGATCCATTCAAGTAACTTTCACAAATATTTCGCCTTTTACGACCAAAGAAATCTGGTATGCAGATAATTGAGATATTTAATACGTTTACAGTACAATGTTGATCCACCCAATACAAACCTGAAGTTTTCCAGCGGATATCCAGTAATACCAATCAGCTTAGCCTTCCCGGCATCCTTCACTTTCTGTAACGCTGGAAGAGTTTCATTGATCACAACATCCAGGCTGTCAGCAAACTCCATGTCATGGACCTGAAACAAGACCACATCTGCAGTTTTGGGATATTATATCATTTTTCATTTTGACACTCACAATTGTTTAGTCTTTTTTGTGTTTTGTGACATCATGAGCATCTATCCACGCAATTTGGATGCAATGACATGAATCAACCAAGTACGAGAGCCTGACCACACAATCCCGTTAGTCGCCTCCTACGACAAGCAAAAAAATCGCCTTTTACAGCAAGCATGGGTTGCTGAAGACCTATTCTACCCCGCGTCTCCATGGATATCTTTTTTTTTTCTTTTTTTTTGTTACTGCAAAGACTGTATAACACACAAATCAGTTCATTGGTGTGTGCTACCAATCATGATTGTTTTGTGTGTAGATTTACTCCTGAACACCTGTTCTATCAAGTAGCCTCTTTCAGCCAGCATAGGCTGATGGAGAGCAATTGTAACCCAGAATCCCCACAGGGTCCAAATTTAGTCACCTCTTGTCTTACTAATAGTAGTAGAGGTAGTAGTAGCAGCTTTAGCAAGCGTAGTAGTAGTAGAAGCCGCAGTAGTAGAAGTGGCAGTAGTAGAAATATCGGTGGTAAAAGCAGTAGTAGTAGTAGTAGTAGTAGTAGTAGTAGTAGTAGTAGAAGCAGCAGTAGTTGTAGTAGTGGTAGTGTAATCGAGTCTGGACCAGACAATCCAGTGATTGACATCATGAGCATCGATCTTCGCAGTTGGGATACGATGACATGCACCAACAAAGTCAGAGAGCCTGACCACCCGATCCCGTTAGTCACCTCTTACGGCAAGCATAGTCGCCGTTTACAGCAAGCATGGGTTGCTAAACAACAAACCAACCAACCAACCACATGTATAATGTCAATGGTTTGTTTGGCTGTTTGTTGCTTCACACCGCACTCCGCAATATTCCAGCTATATGACGGCGGTCTGTAAATAATCGAGTCTGGACAAAACAATCCAGTGATTCACATCATGAGCAACGATCCATGCAATTGGGATACGATACATGCATCCACCAAGTCAGCAAGACTGACCACTCCATTACGTTAGTCGCCTCTTATGACAAGCATAGTCGCCCTTTTACAGGAAGCATGGGTTGCTGAAGACTTATTCTACCCCGGACCTTCATGGGTCAATGTCAATGTGAAACACTCACCCTAACAATGTCAAAGTGTTAAAGAAAACTCACCTGTATAATGTCGATGTAGTCTACACCGAGTCTAGCGAGACTTTCATCTACACTCCGTAAGGTTCGATCCGCACTGAAGTCGAACATCTTGTCCGCCTCAGGCAGGTAGCGAGCCACCTTGGTTGTGAGGTAGTACGCTTCCCTTGGGACTCCCTTCAGGGCCTAGATAGGTAAACACTTGTCACAAGTCCAGGCCACAATTGTTATCAAACATTTGATTCAGTTTAAAGATTTCAGTTTTTCATTCTTGGCTTGCCTACTGCACCTTTTGTTGCTCACATCTTCATGTTTGTTGTTTGTTGTTTGTTGTTTAACGCCGAACTCAGCAACATCCCAGCTATAACATCCCAGCTGTAAATAATCGAGTCTGGACCAGACAATTCAGTGATTGATATCATGAACATCGATCCACACAATTGGGATACCATGACATGCATCAACCAAGTCAGCGAGGCTGACCACCCGATCCCGTTAGTCGCCTCTTACGACAAGCATAGTTGCCTCTTACGGCAAGCATGGGTTGCTGAGGACCTATTCTACCCTGGATTGTGTGGTCCGGGCTCGATAATTTAAAGACCGCCGTCATATAGCTGGAATATTGCTGAGTGTGGCGTAAAGCAACAAACCAACTACAGCAAAAAATGGTTCCTGGGGTGAGTAACAAAACTGATATTCAAGCTATATTACAGCCACCACTAAGTTACTGTGGCATGCCCATTCACACAATTAGCATAAACAGTAATGCATGTCCTTTAATAAGGAGACAACTACACATGTTATTGTGTATATATCTTGGATGTATTACTAACGAAACTTTTAAAAAACTTTAGTTAAACAACACTGTACCTTCCCCAACACGGTTTCCGCCTTGCCATGGCCGTACCAGGGCGCCACGTCGATGACATTGATGCCGCTCCTCAGTGCCTGGTGAACCACCTCGATAGACTCCTCCTCTGTGGTGGAGCGGAAGACGCTGCCTAAGGACGACGCACCTGACACATAAACAGTCAATGGAGACACTGTGTGCACCGGACACACAAACAGTCAATGTAGACACTGTGTGCACCGGACACACAAACAGTCAATGTAGACACTGTGTGCACCTGACACACAAACAGTCAATGTAGACACTGTGTGCACCGGACACACAAACAGTCAATGGAGACAATGTGTGCACCGGACACACAAACAGTCAATGTAGACACTGTGTGCACCTGACACACAAACAGTCAATGTAGACACTGTGTGCACCGGACACACAAACAGTCAATGTAGACACTGTGTGCACCTGACACACAGTCAATGGAGACACTGTGTGCACCTGACACACAAACAGTCAATGTAGACACTGTGTGCACCGGACACACAAACAGTCAATGTAGACACTGTGTGCACCTGACACACAGTCAATGGAGACACTGTGTGCACCTGACACACAAACAGTCAATGTAGACACTGTGTGCACCGGACACACAAACAGTCAATGGAGACACTGTGTGCACCTGACACACAAACAGTCAATGGAGACACTGTGTGCACCTGACACACAAACAGTCAATGGAGACAATGTGTGCACCTGACACACAAACAGTCAATGTAGACAATGTGTGCACATGATGCACAGTCAATGTAGACAATGTGCGCACCTGACACACAAACAGACAGTGCAGACAATGTGTGCACCTGATGCACAAACAGTCAATGTAGACAATGTATGCACCTGATGTACAAACGTTTACCTTGGTCAATGCACAACATGTACCATGTCCAGTGCAGAGTAAATCAGAGTAACCAGACTTTCGGAAGGATGCTTGCTGTTGGTGACCTGGTATTATTGCTGTAATCTGTAGATGGTTCTCACTTGGACATTAAAAACATTGGCAACCATTCGTGCAGTCGGTTTCTCTGATTCTTGGTCTTGGCATGGCACTAGTATTGATACTAGAATTTTGGATCCACATATTGGGGTGCCATTTATCACAAAAATCACAAGGAAAGAAAGTGCATTTTGATTTTCATGGAAAGTATTCAGTTTGGTTTGGCTTGTTGTTTAACGCCGCACTCAGCAATATTCCAGCTATAGGACAGTTGTCTGTAAATAATCGGGTCATGACCAGACAATCCAGTGATTAATATCATGAGCATCGATCCACGCAATTGAGATCGATGACATGCATCAACCAAGTCTGTGAGCCTGACCACCTGATCCCGTTAGTCGCCTCTTACGACAAGCATAGTCGCTTATTAAGGCAAACATGGGTTGCTGAAGACCTATTCTAACCTGGATATTCAAGGGTCAGAAACTTTTTACCATGGTTGTTCGTTAAGCTGTGTTTTGGCAACCCATGTATTCATATTTGTGGCACTTTTTGGCCGCTACTAAATTTGGATAAAGACAAATGTCAAAAATGAGACACCTCCAAAAAATGCTTTGATATTTCAATGGGGAAACTTTCATGAAGTGACGATTCTTTTGCGGTTCATTATATATTATACTGTACTGTACTGTACTGTACTATACTGTACTGTACTTAATATCAATGTAACCCAACACAACCAATTCTCACCAAAACTTAGTACTGATACCGCAAGTCCTGTATCCCCAAAGGAATTGTAGCGCATTTTGGAACAAAGCTCTTCATCATGAAAGCCGGGGACGAATGTTACAGGACGTTTCCTGAAACAATACATCAAAAATGAAGTTAATATTCAACCAATAGTATTATTAGTAGTGCAATGTGCATTAGTACTTGATAGTTAAACACTATCTCTCATATGGTCTGGTGATTTCTTAAAGTGCCATTTAGAAGATGGTATGATTAACAAGGGAGACAACTTCTTTATTACAATGAGTCTGAGTGAGTGAGTTAATGTTTATCGTCACATCAGCAATAGTTCAGCCATATTGTGACTAAATCAAGTTATATATAAATTTTACACAAAACTGAACTATAAAACCTGTCAACAAAGGACAGTAAAATAATTACATTATCACAGATGTAGATTTAAAACTAGCATAACATCATAAAATTTGAACAATTCATAACAATACACAATAAAAATGGGCCATAGATGACCAACAACCAAAGGTAGTTTACCATGCATACTAGGTACCATGGGGACTTACGGTACTTCTGCTACCTATACATGGTAACCCAGTAGTATTTACACCATCCCTCTGGCTACTGGTGATTGTTACTACGTTTTAGCCAAAGCATTAAAAAAAAACAAGATTTCTACAATCAAAACCATGGATATGAAACATTGCTTTGAATGAAGTGGGACTTATGTACTCTCTCAGGGGGGCAATTACTTCATTACAATGACTGCGACCTTCAGTTGTAGATACTAACACCATTATCAGGCAAGTGATGTACAGAATTGTGAAGGAAGTAGGTCGTTTCTGTACATCACTTGACTGATAACGGTCTTAGGATCTACACCAAAATGGCGCATTCATTGAATATAAAGATTTGTTTGTTTATTTCACTGTTGTTTAACGCCGCACTCAGCAATATTCCAGCTATATGACGGCGCTTTGTAAATAATCGAGTCTGGACCAGACAAGCCAGTGATTAATATCATGAGCATCAATCTACACAATTGGGATGCGATGACATGCATCAACCAAGTCAGCAAGCCTGACCACCCGATCCCGTTAGTCGCCTCGTACGACAAGCATAGTCGCTTTTAACGGCAAGCATGGGTTGCTGAAGACCTATTCTACCCCGGAATCTTCACGGGTGTACCCTGTAACATTGTATAGTGTGTGTGTGTGTGTGCGCGCGCGTGCGATTCCATTAGTTGCCTCTTACGACAAGCATGGGTTGCTGAAGATAAAGAAGTTGCAGATCAATTGCACTGTCACTCTCGGCCTGATCAGTCAGGAATATACCAGTAATCTTTAGTTCCTGAAAACTGAAGTGAATGTTTGGCTACTTTAAACATAACTATGGGATACAGCTATTTGGGCAAGTGACTTTGTTCAAAATGTGCTTTTGTTCACCCAGCAGTTAATGGGTACCCAGTAGGATGAGATGGCAACATGGTTGTTAACCTTCTAGCACCTAACAGGCAGCTTGGGTTGTATACTCCCCAGGGGGCTGAGAATGATTCTAGAATGCGAGCATATTCAGTGACCCGGGTAATAGTAGAGCTTTGAGCATGCCCCTCAGTGGTGCCATGAAGACACAGGCTAGAACAGGTCTTCTGCAACCCATGCTGGCCGTAAAAGGTGACTATGCTTGTCTTGTAAGAGGCGACTAACGGAATCGGGTGGTCCGGCTTGCAGACTTGGTTGATGCATGTCATCGATCCCAATTGGGTGGATCGATGCTCATGATATTAATCACTGGATTGTCTGGTCCAGACTTGATTATTTACAGACCGCCGTCATATAGCTGGAATATTGCTGAGTATGGTGTTAAACAACAAACCAACCAACCCTGAGTGGTGTGGAAATATGCGAACTACAAATTAGTAATACTGATGATCCATTACAAAAATATATATAAGTCCTTCAAGAAAATCAACCAATCAGAACTTTTCACAGCCATCCCTAATGGAGCCCAGCATAGATTGCTGAGGACCGTTCCTGACCCAGAATCCCTAAGGGGTAATTAGGGATAAATTGCAATTTAATATAATCCTGCATTACATAGAAATAGAGACCTGCAAATTAAAACTTCATTCTGTTCCAAATTCGTCACAATATAAACTATTGTTGGTGTGCTGTGTAGGTTACATTCATCAACATTCCAGCTATATGACTACAGTCTGTAAATAACTGAGTCTCGAACAGACAATCCAGTGATTGATATTATGAGCAACAATCCATGATGTTGGGGCACGCTGACACGCTATCAACCAAGTCACCAGGGCCTTACAACCTGATCAATTAAAGTTCCTCTTAAAACCAGCATGGATGCTAAAGGTTAATTCAAACCCACATCCGAAGAATGACCGAGTCAGTTACTTTTATAGCATTATTTCAGACATATCATCAAAATGGACAAAAATAACAGGTTTCACTCATTGTTCTTATTTATATTTGGAATCAAACCTGGGACTTCAGTGTGGCCAAAGCTTTAACCACTTGGCTACCCTATCCATGCAATTGGGATACGATGACATGCATCAACGAAGTCAGCGAAGTTAGTCTCCTCTTACGACAAGCATAGTCCCCTTTTACGTATGGGACAAGTAGTCATTACTTTAAGGTTTGTTTATTTGTTCAACAAACCTCAAGATGTTATGCCACTGCTTGAGCTTATCTGAATGGGACAACATTTTTCTCTTGCTAGGGCATACAGGGATTTATCTCTATTGGGCCCAAAGTATCAATAAAAATTTACTCAATTGATTTAGTTAAAACTAATGCTATGGCTTTGCAATTTCACTTGGATTTTGCTGATACCAGGACCAAGACAGGGAGGCTGTAATGCAGAGAATTACATTATTTCATTAAATGGATCTATCTAAGGCTTTTGATGGTCTTCCCCACGACTTGTTACTGGCCAAGCTTCAGGTTTACGGCCTTAATGGCCAGGGCAACAGCACACCTATACAGGTATCTCAGTAACAGGAAACAGCACTTAAACCTGGGTTCAAATTGCAGCGATTGGCTTTATAGTGTTGGATGTACCACAGGGTTCCACTTTAGGCCCTATCCTATTTAATATTTTTACATATGATGTATTTTATTCTCTGGGTGAGTCTTTATTATATAATTATGCAGATGATACAACATTGTCCAATTCTCACATGGATCTTGAGTAAGTCTGTAAACCTGTAAACCGATGGTTTAAGAACAACCAAATAAAAGCTAATTCTTTGAATTTTCAAACAATTAGCCTAGGGAACAATCCCTCTGCAATTATAGAGGGATGTATACACCTCAGTTGAGAATGAAAATTGAGTGCACACTGATCCATTGACCGGTGTAAAATCAGGGTATGAAACTCCCAAAAATTTCAGCCAGACCACAGGACTGGCTAGCTGAAATACTTGCCAGCCCTGACCAAAACCTGCCTGCCCACTATAATCATATGTTTCTCAGGATTATTTAATTAATAATATGAAAACTGATTGCTTGTAGCATAAGCGCATCGCTAAATATTAGGTTGTCTAAAAGCTAACTGGGTTTCTTTTTGGTTACATTTTATCATTCATCTTTACATGTGAATTAATGCTTATCATCGGGAAATATTTAGAATATTTTCACCTATGAAATATAACCCGACCGTCGGGCAGGGGGATTTGAAAATCTGACAGCCCGAGTTGAAATCAACCCGTCACGGACGGTCAGGCAGGCAGGTATTTCGAACGCTGGTAATATTAATGTAGTGCCATGAGAATTCACGTGAGTGGAGTGGTGCAGTTTAAAAAATTATTATTACCATTATTATCAATTAAGAATTTCACTTTTGGAGATATAATACTGGATTGTGATGACAAAGTTACCTTGCTCGGTGTAGATACTGACCACATGTTGATGTCTTAGAATCACATTACCAACTCACACTAAAAAGGCTGCTGCACAACCGGCACTCCTCAAACCCATGGGTCACTACATCACGAGGTAAGATTGTTATCTACAAATCTTTCATCCACTCTAAGCTCAATTACTGTCCCCTTATTTGCCACAAAAATCAAGAAAGAGCCATAAAATTGACATGCATGTTTTCAAAATTTAATGAAATTATTGCAATCAACCTACTCTCTCATGCTGGAACTTACAGCGGAGATTCACGGCAAAAAGGCATCTAAATTTGGTTAAATCAAAATGCCTATTGAGGCCTCCGGAGTCTGGAGATGCCTGTCAAATGATTTTCTAAGTTGAATCATTTAGTAAACTGAGCAGGTGTCTTCAGACCTGATCCTGTCCCCTTTACAAATACTCTACATGAAGCTATGATAACTGATGTACCCTGTGATTAATATTTGTCTTATTTCTTAGGCATTATATACAGTAAATGTTTTGTTTAATTTGTCAACTATTCTGTTCAACTCAGTTGTTATCATTTGTTTTTGTTTTTTTGTAATCATGTTAGTCTGTTAATCTATTTGTGGGAGCTAATGTATTTTTTATTTGAAAAACCAACATTAAACATTGTAATCAAAATTTCTTTATTTTTTAACACGTTTACACAAAATCATTGTTGGTTCAAAGTGACAAATTTGCCTAGGATAAAAGGATCTATAAATGCATTAATTTCTAAAAGTCATAACAAAATAAGTTGTAGTAAACACCAAGTTTCAAATAGGTTCATTTTCTGGGACATTGACCAACTGTCGTCCAAAATGTCCGAAAGATGAGTTTAATATTTGGTAAAAATATAGAAGAATGTCCTTTGATAAGATGACTGAATCGTGAAAAGATCCTGCAAGTCACTCTACACTACCGTTTGGGTCTTGAGATAAACACTTAGGTGTATTAGATTTTGTGTGGGATATTAAACTGCCCCCTACTTGAGTTGCTGCTTAAATATTAAGTTAAGATCATGAGGGTCAGAAATTGTACTATCCTATTATATGCTATAATAGGACAGTGTGTTTCTACCATGTGTGATATTAATTGATACGGAAATATTTAAGCAACAGCACAAGGGCCTGTGTGCAATTATTCCTGACCAGTCCAGTGATGATCTTAATGAAGATTTAGTTGAGATTATGTTATCAATGGCATAGGCAGGTCCAGAGGGGGTCGCGCCTACCCTGTTGAAAACCAAATGTAGTAAGTCGTGGGCAGTAAAAGTATCTGAGAGAGGCTTTTGATATTTTGGTCTTTACCCTTTTAGAAAAGCTCGATCTACCCTCGAATGGAACATCTTTACTTTCTTATTTTCTTCAAATTTATTTAACTTACCGGAGCATATTGGAACTTGTTCCTCGAAACTTCAAACAGAGATGCTTGCAAACTCGTTGAACACTAACTGTCCTTGACAAGACAGCACACTGTGATTTGGAATGATACCGATAACGCAAGGTCCAGAATAACCTTCACAGAAACACGCACACACTCGCTGAGCATTCATAATACATCTTTGCAGTGAGGTGGACGATAAGCTGTCAGTAATCTATTTCGACCGAGGTCAGTATGATAAAACCGACTCAGGTCGTGAGATTGTGAGGCGACACTGTTTGACGACAGCTACAGCGACTCTATCAGCTGTATATATTTGCTGAGCAGCTGTTGCCGACGCTGGTGATGCGTGTAGCCGAGATGTGGGGCAGTTCACTGGCTAGTTGCCACAATAATAGTGCCACGTGCCACGCAGCCATCCATGTGAATCGCGTGTCCCGTTTATTTACCACGACTTTTTGTTGTTATTATTTACGATAAATATTGCCGAGGCAAGGGAGTGTACTCTCACTACTCGTGATGGAAAATGCCGCTAAACAATGCAGTACGTCCCTCCAGAGTGAAGCCGGTACAACCCGCATTGCTTAGCAACACCTGAGCATGTCTTGTGTTTTCCAATTCTCCCAAAGCTGTTATTATGTCGAGGCAAAGATAAAATAAAATCAATAGATCTATTTTGGAGTAGGTCAAAGCGGCCTCAAAAGGTAGTCAAAACTGCCACCCAAAATGTCAAAACGGTAAGAATACATTCGTAAATATATAGACGTCAAACTCAATTATTCAGTTGGTTGGTTGGTTTGTTGTGTAACGCCGCACTCAGCAATATTCCAGCTATATGACAGCCGTCTGTAAATAATCGAGTCTGGACCAGACAATTCAGTGATTGATATCATGAGCATCGATCCACGCAATTGGGATCGATGACATGCATCAACCAAGTCAGCGAGCCTGACCACCCGATCCCGTTAGTCGCCTCGTACGACAAGCATAGTCGCCTTTTACGGCAAGCATTGGTTGCTGAAGACCTATTCTACCCCGGAATCTTCACGGGTCCAATTATTCAGTCATGATTTGTATTAATTATACATATTGTTCATATAACAAGGAATAACAGTACCCTGTAGTTTGTTTGTTTGGTTGGTTTGTTGATTTAAGCCGCACTCAGCAATATTCCAGCTATATAACAGCGGTCTGTAAATAATCGAGTCTGGACCAGACAATTCAGTGATTGATATCATGAGCATCCATCCACGCAATTGGGATCGATGACATGCATCAACCAAGTCAGCGAGCCTGACCACCCGATCCCATCAGTCGCCTCTTACAGCAAGCATAGTCACCTTTTACGGCAAGCATGGGTTGCTGAAGACCTATTCTACCCCGGAATCTTCACGGGTGTACCCTGTAACCCTCTGTGTGTGTGTGTGTGTGTGTGTGTGTGTGTGTGCGTGTGCGCGCGCGTGCGGGGAATTGGGGTGGTTTATTGTACGTGTCACCTGTCAAATTTTTGGGTGACATTTTCATGACTTCTAAATAACAATGTTCTAAACATACATATATTTACGGAAAATAAGTGACAAAAATCATAATGTATAATTTCAGTCAGGTGCGGACCACGTTGAGCAGTGTATGTCAAAATGGAGTTCATTAAAAATTCCATATTTCATATAAATAAAGATCCACTGAGGTGATGTTTGTTTGTGTTTTATTTAATGCCGCAAACATCAATATTCCAGCTATATATGACGGCTGTCTGTAAATATTCGTGGTCAGGCTCTCTGACTTGGTTGGTGCATGTCATCGTCACTCAAGTTCAATAAGGAGGTCCAGTCCATGTCCTGGCATATTTTCAAAATGGACAATTAGTCATAAGACAAGATATTGCATAGCCGCGTTAGGGGAGTGTCAGTGGTGTCTACAGCAGGACAGAAAACCTCCTCAAGTATAATATTATGTCTGTAGTTTGACCATATATGTGGGTCGTTATATGGCTGAAATAGTGCCGATGCGACGTTAACTTTTAACTCACTCACTCACCATATATGTGGGAAAACGAAATGTATGTTACTGTCCCAGTGATATAAATGCAACATTTATTATTTCCAATGCTTTGTTTGTTTGAGTAGAAGAGAGCAGTACCCTGGTAACCAAGCCAGCAGGAGTTATCTCCCCTACCGGAAGTGCCGCCGACTTAGATTGGCAAAGAGGGGCATGGTGGGTGATGCGTGCGTCACGTCCGGTTCCGGGGAGGCGTGCGCCTCCGAAAGAGCGTCAAATCCGGTTCCGGGGAGGAGGACATAAGAAGCGCTCGTAAAATAAAAAAAGGAACAGAAGCTCACGTAAAATCCTCCACTTTTTTTTAAAAAGTGGAGGTGGCGGCGGCGGCGCTGGTGGTGGAATAGGGAGGAGGAGGGGGTTTTTTTTGGTTGTGGTTGGTAGGTAGGTAAAGCAATGATGAAAGCGTTCTTTGGGGAGAGTGGATTGGCCCTGAAAAGGGCCGTTTGAAACAAACTGGAACAGGAACTGGGAACGGAAACGGAAACGGAAACGGAAACTTGATTCCAGGAAGGCGGGAAAACTTCCTCATTCTCATTCTCCTCGCACAGATAGTGCCAGTAAGTAGCAGCTGCTACCACGCTCTTCCTCTTGTGTCTCACCAGCACCACTACAGTCAGCTTGAGGTAGGCGCACTGAGAGGACCACTTGAGGTGTACCAGCCAAGGATCATCGTGAGGCGTCCATCTTCTCAGCCCCACGCCGCAATGAAAGCAGTACACACCATCGGCACTTTGCGTGTACACGAAACCCGCATGGGCCATCTCTTCACCGGTCTGGTTCATCTGCATCGGCAAACCCTCAGACGAGGCTAGTCTTCTTTCAAAGTGTAGATAATGGGGCGACGGTGGCTTACTGGGTGGCGGCGGTGGTAGCCTACCATCACAACCATCCGAAAACTCAGATCTGTTCCCACAAGCATCCATACCCTCAATCCTGGGTCCATAAGAATCCAGAAGAGTCCTGGTCCCCTCACAAGCATCTGTATGTATGACTATGATCATGGGTATACTTAAGGGTTCTTTTCTTGTTGGATTGACAGGGCACCCATCCTTCCTTCCCCTGATGTCAGTTCAACGCAGACCGTGTTGGAACAGCGGTGGGAACAAACCCCTCGAAAACAAACCTATTCGCCTAATCTGCCTGTGATGATGATCAGTGACGATGATAATGAATCACACAAGTTGGCAGCACTTCCTTCCATGGAGCTGGACACACCAACCCTGCTTGATGTTTCTTGGTCACCATCATCACCGGAGGATGTCTTCTCCTCAGGTATGCCAGCGGTTTGCGACGACGACAATGAGGACGATCCTTATGGAGAAGCTCAACTCACTTCCATACAGCGTGAATGTAGTGTCTGCCGGCACACAGCATGTTGTGGTCAAGTGATGTGTCATGTCTGTATCAGGGAGGCCGTAGACTGTACATGTTTTTCTGAGGGGTCCCAAACATTGTTTGCACCTGTTTAGGACAGTATGATGAAGGACCACATCTTATGGTGACCCCATCTTCCCTCGAAGAGCTTGAAGATGGAAGATTGAAGATGAAAGGTTTTTGCGTTCTTTGAGGGTCATGTGAAACACGCCCTCCTCAGTTGTCTTTCGTATTTCCTATGTATGTGGGTTGATGTTATTGTTGTTGTTGTTGTTGTTGTTGTTCATCATTAAACGGTGATTGATTGAACTGACTCTTTGTCTCTTGATTTATCTCAACTCCAACAGGGTACCAAACCGAGGGTAGAGACTGAGTTGAGATGTAGTCAACGCTCTCTGTCTGTGATGTCTGTGCACATGCTCGTTGTAAAAGTAAAGAAAAATAGATAAAAGAGAAAGGCCATGCTTGAAAGATCAGTTGCCTTGTGTCAGTCACCCAGAACACATGATAGAGTCTTATCACATCGTCAGTGACATGTAGGACGTCATGGAGTCCACATCATGTTCAGACTGTGGTAAGACATTTTCTAGAAGCGATGTCTTACTTCGTCATAAAAAACACGTCCATCACCAAAACCATCACCCCTATGAGACCAGTGCTCGTTGTAAAAGTAAAGAAAAATAGATAAAAGAGAAAGGCCATGCTTGAAAGATCAGTTGCCGTGTGTCAGTCACCCAGAACACATGTGTACAGGATGACGTCACATGGTGATGATGATGAAGAGGTCATGACCTCACCTTTGACCCTACGCCATTGCTGGACCCACAGGATCAGGAAAAAGTTCCGTTGTGAAATCATGTATGGAGCAGATGCATCGCCCAGAAGTGTTGGATACACCACCCCATCGCATCGTGTTGGTGTACAGTGAATGGCAACCGCTTCATCATGAGTTTGAAGAGATGGCAGATCGCTTAGTGGTCACTCTTGAGTTTGTGCAGAGCATGAAAGAAGCGGATCGTGCCTTGCCAGAAAAAGGGGTGGCCCCGCATTGGCTCGTCATCGATGATTTGCTGGGCGACAATACAAAAGAAGATTGTTTGTTGTTTAACGCCGCACTCAGTAATATTCCAGCTATATGACGGGCAAAAGAAGAAGAAATGGAAGTGTTGTGATGGTTCACCAAGAAAAGTCATCACCCAAACACATCCATGTTGTATCTCACTCAGAACTTGTTTGCCCAATCACCACAACATCGCATCATTAGTCTGAATGCTCACTACATGGACCTCTTTAAAAATCCGAGAGATGCATCGCAGATCGACAGTCTGGCTCGCCAGGTGTTTCCAGGCAAAGTTCTTTTTCTGCGTGAAGCCTATGGAGACGCCACCAATGAACCTTACACTTACCTGTTCTTGAACTTCAAACCCATCACATTGCAAGACCATCGAGTACGTGCCCGCCTGTTTTTGAGATCCGAGATGCCAGTCGTGTATGTGCAGATCCTATGAGATATGGAGAAACTTCCTAAAAGCATGTGAACCCACTGACCTTCCTTCAGTGGAGCCACAGCCATCATGGGGCAAAGACGGTCTATGAATGCCATGCCACCATCCCAAGATGTCGCCGATACCGAGTGGGTGTCTGAAAAGGTGAGAGAACAAGCGACACGACACATGGCAACTCGATGACATCCTGGAGGCACGACCTTCTCCTTCTTACACCTTGAGTCATCCTTCTCATCCTGGCTATGATTCATTTCAACAACGTCTGAGGTCTTTTCAAACGTGGCGTAAACAGATGGCCCAGACCCCTTATGACATGGCCATGGCTGGTTATTTCTATCATGGTCGGTGTGATCGTGTTATCTGTTATTGCTGCGGTGTGGCACTCTGCCAGTGGGAAGCCACAGACAAACCCTGGAAAGAACATCTGAAGCACGCCAAAGTCCCCTGTGAATACTTGTGTGTGTTTTGTCCTAATGGAGAAGTGAACGAAAAATAAAGGTGTCTGTTGTCTGAAGAAGCATGGAAGAGAAGAGCAGAGAGTCTTGTTCACTC